CCCGACCCCCACCCAAAAGCTGGTATTAGAACTGAAGTTGCAACAGTGACAGGCACCAGCTCTCCCCGCTGCCCTGAAACAAACACAAGGTGAGAAGCAGGCGGAGGGAAGACCTGCTGCAGGTGAGGTCGGTAGCCCCGGACCCACGGGCTCCCAACGGGGACAGCCGAGGCCCCTGGGTCACGAGAGGACGGGAGGCAGGGAAGGGCGAGGCCGGCTACCTTGGTACAGGAGGGCAAATCCCTGGGCTTGGTTGATGCGGTCGGAGAAGAAATACAGAATAACGAAGTCCAGCGACGCGTTGAAGGACAGCGGGGGCCGACTGCGGCCGCTGAACCGGGCCAGGACTCGGTGCGTGTAGCCGTCCAGCAGCTCCACCATGTCTGCGGAATCCCGGATGTCGAACAAGGTGAAGTTGAAGTGGATGGAGGAGGCCCCCGGCACTCGGATGGTCCAGTAGCAGACCCGGCCTGTGGCGTAGGTGTCGGGAAAGTCCGGGGAGTAGACCACCGCCGTCATGGCGGAGTAGTTGCCGCCGCAGGCGCCCACGAGAGCTGCGGAGACACAAGGATGCCAGGCTTTAGCGGTGAGGTCCACCCTGACTGGCAATGTTGTTGGTTTTCTGTACAGCCGCAGGCGCCCACGAGAGCTGCGGGGACACAAGGATGCCAGGCTTTAGCGGTGAGGTCCACCCTGACTGGCAATGTTGTTGGTTTTCTGTACAGCCAGACCATCTTAGGGTTCAGGGTTGGTCACAGCAGGAACCCTGAAGCCCTGGACAAATCGCTGAGAGCCTCAGGATGTGAGCCAGCTCTCCTGCCCAGCTGGGCCGGCTGGAGTCCGTGAGCCCATATGCCAGCCGCGGGGCCGCTTCGGTTCAGGGCCATGTATCGTATGAGCGCAGAAGGGAAGGCGAGACAGGGCACAGGGAAATATAGGGATCCACCTGGAAGGGCGGCAAGTGATATAAGAGGGCACTACAACTTCTCGGTGTCCCTGTCCCGTTAGAAGAGTGAGTCACACCAGAGGTCCTTCGGGAAACTGCAGCACAGGAATAGCCTGCTGCCTCGTGGCCAGGGGGGTGGACCACCTCAGAGGTACTGATGGGCAGGTTCCCCCAGGGGACTCACCACTCCCCTGAATCTCACGCAGTGACATGTACACACGGGCCCAGAAGTGACAGCCTGGAGTGTGGCAGGGCGCCCCATGTCCAACCCGTCTGAGTCCCTGGGGGCTTTAGTCTCCTCCTCCTCTATGAAATCAAAGTGCTCATGGTGAACGCAGTTTGCTTGGGTCAAGTGTGCAGGGCAGGGTGCGGCACATAGTTGACACTTGTAAATATGAGCTGTTCTGTTATAACTGGATCCAAATCAAGTTCAACAGTTCCCAGAACAGGCCTTCAAGTGAGAGCCATGGGTCCCCGAGATACCAGGCCAATTCGGCGATTTGGAGAGCAAACGTGCGCTCTGGAGAGGGACCATTACAACGCCGAGGAAAGGAGGAGAGGCTGGCCTAACACCTACCATACAATCAGGGGAGGGGGCAGGTCGGGGAGGCCCCTCTGGTGGCTGGGGGTCAGAGCCCTCCTGCAGCCAGAGGTGGTCTCTCAGAGTCCAGCAGGGAAAACACTTTCGTGTCTCAGTTTTCTCATCTGGGAAGTGGGTCTGCTACGAGAAAAGGCAAGTTCATGGGCCAATGGAATGAAAAGAGGATGGGGTTTTCCTTCGGGCTTCTGATGCACCATGGGTGTCCCTGCTTCCTGCATCGTGGATAATGCACAGAAGGTAGACAGCCCAGCACCTCTGGATGTAAATTGCTCAATAAAGTCACAAAGGAGTCCCATTTCCGAGACTTTAGTGTACAATCCAGTGGTTTTTAGTATGCTGGCAATGCTGAAGAGCTCTGGTACCGTAGCGGTTACACATGGGACTGCTAACTGTAAGGTCAGTAGTTCAAAACTACCAGCTGCTTTGAAGGAGAAAGGCTGGGCTTTCCAAATGTGAAGAAAGCTGATGGTGCCCGGCTATCAAAAGATATAGCATCTGGGGTCTTAAAGACTTGAAGGTAAACAAGCGGCCAACTAGCTCAGAAGCAACAAAGCCCACATAGAAGAAG